GACACAGCACCACCACAGACACACACAGATGCACATCCTTCCTCTCCTATCTTCCACTTTGCTATGTTCTGAATACATTTCATCCAAAAACACACCGAGTGCGACGTCCTAAATTGATTTTATAATCTACTTGAGAGTTCTGGTCTGTAGTTTGTCAAACATTGTTTTACGGCACATTTGATATTACTTTCAGTAGTTAATGACTGCTATGTCATAAAACTTTTTCTCTAATATTAAGGAATACTACTTTAGGCTCTGATATAATTTCAAGCTTTGATTCTGATATTTATGACAAAAATATGCCACTGCAACCCTTTTTCTTGGTTGTTAAAAGAGGTAATACACTGTGGTATAGTTTAGAGCCTTTCATTTTTGACTAAATAAGGCATATTATAAAGATCTAGTGTTATGGATCTGTAAATACAATGCAAAAATGTTACATTTTATCAAAGGATTATTGATTAAAATGTATAATAATCCACAAAAAAATTTCATTTTTGCTCAAAATCAGGACTAGCTTTGCTTCTCATAAGCAATACTCTGTTTTAACTTGTAAATTCAAAGAAAAACATCATCTATGCCCCTTTCTGTTGGCTGCTAGGAACCAGTACACACACAGAACTTTATTGTTATATATTTTGGGTACCAACTTTCCAAAAATTTTCACCTAGGCCACGTTTTGCTTTCACTACTACCTCTTCCACCACAAATCCCCTAGCTAAGCTTCTATTTTGTGATACTGTACAACTAATTTTTCTTTTCTTTTTTTTTTGAGACAATGTCTTGCTGTCTCGCCCAAGCTGGAGTGCAGTGACATCATCAAGGTTCACCACAGACTCAACCTCCTGGCTCAAGTGATCCTCCCATCTCAGCCTCCTGAGTAGCTAAGACTACAGGTATGTACTACTACGCCCCACTAATTTTTGCATTTTTGGCAGAGACAGAGTTTCACCATGTTGCCCAGGTTGGTCTCAAACTCCTGAGCTCAAATGATGCACCTGCCTTGGCCTCCCAAAGTACTGGGATTCCAGGCATGGGCCACTGTACCCAGGCCACAAGTACTTCCATAGGCTGTTTCAAGTCCATTTTGCATCAGGCAGAGAATAAAATAAATAAAGATAATGGTAACAGACACAATAACAATAATAATGTAATATCAAACAGACAAGTTACTTTTATCTTTAGGCTTCTTCAAACACTCTTTGCAATAGTCTTTTAAACTGCTTAACATTTAGTATGAAAACTGGCTACAAGACTTCTCTGGCCAAAGACGCTGTCTTCCCCATAGTCTACATTTTATTTCCACTACTCATAACATATAACTAGCAACTTTCTTCATAACCTACATTGGCCGAATATAGTATGATAAAGTCTGAGCAGGGAGAGAAGATCATTCATATACAATGAAAAGAGCACAGAAGGTTCCACAGAGCTAAACTTCAGCCACTCGCCATTTCTGATTGCCTTTCATGGCCAGGGTAACTTTCACTGGCTCCTGGTCTCTTACTTATCTCTGCAAAACAGAAGAATTATATGTAGAACCAGGAAGTACACAACAGACTAAAGAATGCAGATAAAATCTGGCTTCTAATGCTACGTATAAGCTTTCCTAAAAGGGTTTTTATTATATCATTCTAAGTAAAATTCTGTGTTGAGGAATGCTAACTCTAATAATACTTATACCATGAGGCAGGCACTCATTTAGCCGCATTACCCCAGCTCCATGAAGCAGACGCCATCATTATCTCTACTTTATAGAGGAGGAAGCAGAGGTCTAGAGAGATTAACTTGCCCAAGTTTACACAGCCAGCAGGTGGCAAAGCCAGGATTTGAACCCACAGAATTAATCCACCTGTAGGTTAGTCTTATTTTAGTCATTAACTAAAACATTCCAATTTTCCAAGGAAAACTCAACGACTTTTATAAAACCCAATTAAAGAGCTACAGTCAGCAGGAATGACAATGTCAATGCTAAAAGTGACAAGAGGTGACCTGCTGAAACCCTAAATTAATGGAAAAGCTTATTCTGTTTTTCAGTCTTTGTATTCTTTCTCTTTTAGTCTCTTATTTCTCATAACTCTCTCCTTTTTCCTTAAGGCCCTATGGAATACGGAGAAATGGGTGACTAGCAAATTGAACAGATCACAATACTGGACTCACGAGTTAGAAAAGTTTTATTTTTGAGGATGGCTTGGTCCCTATTAGCCATGTAACTCTGGCTTGGAAAAAAAACCACACAAACTCTTTGGATTAAAGCTCCTTATTTGAAAATTGAGAGATCTGAACCAGATGATTTCTAACTGCCCTCTTCACTCTGAAGCACTATGCTTTAGCACTTTAAAATACTGGATTTTTAAAATGAAGAAACAATGGTGTGACCTGTTCTTATTTAAGAGGTAATTTGGTCTTATGTAAACAGTTTACTTTTAGCTTGTCATTTTGAACAGCCCTTGTTTTCTTTAAGAACTACCGGCTAGTGGCCCTCAACAGAATAAAGGGTTGGCCACTCCACGCGATACCATCCAGAACATCACAGTTTAGTCTGTTCATCCAGGTACTTTTCATCTTGTCTTGGGAATGATGTTGAAGATCCAGAGGTCACAGACACTAATCTATTGATGCTGGCTACATACTCCACAGGGGTGACAGCTGAGAGGTGAGCAATCAGGCAAGTCCTGCATAAGGGGCCCGCTCACTCCAGGGAGGTTTTCCAGTGAAGTCTCCCAGGACTGCATCCATCAGGTTGTCATGCTAACTGGTTCTGTCCACTTTTTGGACAGCAAATGGACTTCTCCCAATCTCATTCTCATCATCATTTTAATAAAAATGAAGCTGCTGATACAGAAGTGCTGGGAAGGAAAGAGCATGGTCTTTTTAAATGATATGGAAGCAGGGAAGGGAAGTGCTGGGTAGAGGAGGGCATGGTCCCTGGTTAGCACTCCAACCCCATGGATCTAGCTGAGGACAGGCACTCCTGCCTTCACACCCAGATATTGCATTTCCCGAGACAACCCTGGTGTGGCACACCCCTATCCTGTGCCTATAAAAACCCAAGACCCTAGCAAGACAGGAACAGAAGCACTGGACGTAGAGAGGAACACATTGGTGGAGGCACACATAGGTGGAGGTACACACATGGGGCTGGACATCAAGAGGAACTCACCAACAGGCACCGGCAAAACCACGTGGAGTTTGGCTGGGGCAGTTGGAGGAGAGCCCAGGCCACCAAGCAGCCTGACTCCAGGGAAAAACCATCTCCCTTCTGGCTCCTCCATCTGCTGAGAGATATTTCCACTCTATAAAACCCTGCACTCATTATCCAAGCCCACATGTGATTGTTTCTTCTGGTACATGAGGGCAAAAACCTCAGGATACAGAAAGCCCTCTGTCCTTGTGATAAGGCAGGGATCTAATTGAGCTGGTTAACACAAACTACTTATAGATGGCAAAGTTAAAAGAGCAAAACAAAAAGAGCACCCTGTAACACAGGCTTCCTGGGGTTTCAGGAGCTGTAAACATACACCCCCTAGACACTGCCGTGGGGTTGGAGCCCCAGAGCCTGCCCATCTGTATGCTCCCCTAGAGGTCTGAGCAGTGGGGCACTGAAGAAGTGAGCCACACCCCCATCACACAGGCTGTGAGGGGGATAAGGAACGTTTCCCATTTCACTGCCATGAGGATTAAAAGGGAAAATGCAGGGCATGTAGTAGGGGCTCAGAAAGTTTGCTATACTCTCCCTAACCCTTCTTCTCTTCAAAAAAGCATAGTTTGGAAACAATTCATAAAGGTGTCTGCATATTTTCCAAGAACAGGGAAAAAAGCCTTGTTTTACATTTTATTCATTCATTCATTCATTGATTTTGAAATGGAGTCTCCCTCTGTTGCCCAGGCTGGAGTGCAGTGGGGCGATCTAGGCTCACTGCAACCTCTGCCTCCTGGGTCAAGCGATTCCCCTACCTCAGCTTCCCAAGTAGCAGAGATTACAGGCATGTGCTACCATGCCAAGCTAATTATTTTGGTATTTTTAGTAGAGAAGGGGTTTCACCATGTTGGTCAGGCTGGTCTTGAACTCCTGATCTCAAATGATTCACCTGCCTCAGCCTCCCAAGGGATTACAGGCTTTACATGTTAATTAAATACCACTTCTTTGTTGTTGAACTACTATATGCATTTTTAAAAAGCTGCCTTTTCAAAATGAATGACTCTCCCATGTGAACACACAAATCCATGTGTGTTTGTATTACATCCTGGGGGTGTTTGTATTACACACAGTGGGAGATGTCCCCACCCCCTTGCCTGTGTCCCACTCGGGGTCCTGGTGACCCTAAGAACCACCAGGCTGAGGGGCAGAGGAGCAGCTTGTCTCGAGGTCTGTCCTGCCTCTTGCTGCAGCTGCAGTGACTGGTGGTAAAGTCTACTATTCAAAGAACGGAGTAATTAGTTGCTAGAAAAACAGCAGTGGGAGTGTGAAAAGCAGAGGAGACGAAGAAAATGACACAAGAGCATTATTCTATTTTGTTGAAAACTGTAACAAGGTGTTAATGCTTCAGCTGTTCCTTTTGAAGTTATTTTTATTTTTATTTTTTTTAGAGATGGAGTTTCGCTCTTGTTCCCCAGGCTGGAGTGCAATCTCAGCTCACTGTAACCTCTGCCTTTCGGGTTCAGGGGACTCTCCTGTCTCAGCCTCCTAAGTAGTTGGTATTACAGGCGCCCACCACCACGCCCGGCTACTTTTTTTTTTTTTTT